ACTATACTATACTATACAATACTATACTATACAATACTATACTATACTATACTATACTATACTATACTATACTCTACTATACTATACTATACTATACTATACTATACTATACTATACTATACTATACTATACTATACTATACTATACTATACTATACTATACCATACCATACTATACTTTATGATGTTTCAATTATCCCGGGAGCATTTCCGTGGCGATTCATAATATTATATTCATTATATTATATACATTATATTATATTCATTATATATTATAACAACTCTTTAAATAAGGTTTTCAGAGTGAATGCAAAGAAACAAATAATATATGATCGTTAAAGTCACGTGGGATAGCTATCAAGATGGATAGATGGTATTTGGGTTAGCTACAAAGATTGATAGATAGTATACAGTTTCCCGAACAAGTATCTATCCAGGTACAACTCAAATTCTATTGGCTATCAGTTTCTCGAACATGTATCTTTCTAGGTAAAACTCAGATATTCTTGACTATCAATGGGAACCATACACCAATAATCCCGTAAACTATCAAACGCCACTACCACCATGGGCGCGATCTTGTTGGCTATCGATATCAATCGGAAGCTCGCAACTATCAATGCCAAATCAAAGGGGACAATCCTCAACCTGTTTATCAAAACAGGGAATATTTACTCTCTCGCAGTAAACAGTACGAAGTTACCATATCAACTAGTGTATTTAAAGTTTATATGTTACAAATTAAAGTTAATAGGCGTAATTACAATTCCTACACCCTTTCACATGATTAAGACAATCATGTTACGTATTATAGCACAGTTGAAATAGACACAGTTTAAGATGTACGCCATTCTATATGATCACATTATTAAGCTGATCATGCTACGTATTTATTAGAAACGCAGTTCAAATGAATTATGGTTTTCATACGTAGAAGTTTACAAGCACAAATATTTAACAATGTACAACGTACTGCAGGTTAACAGAATAATGTGTTATCTGATATTTATTACAGGGAAAGCTAATAAGATAAATAGATAGTACTTGGGTTAGTTATCAAGAAAGATAGATATTGCTTGGGTTAGTTATCAATATAGAT